CATAAATAAAAATTCATTTTATTATTTGGGGCACTTCGCGACACTTTCTGGATACTTCATCAACACTTTCCGAACACTTCGCTGATACTTCTCGAATAATTCTAACATAAGTTTACCCAATAATCTTAAAAATAATATAAATACTATTATGACAAAGTAGTGAAATAATAGCATATGTGATATAAAATTTTTTACAATAATGATATAATTTCATTTTTTAATTCATTTCAGAACAATTTTTAGTATAAAAATTATAAATAAATTAAAGTTTTTTTTTAATAATATTACTAAATAGATGTATAGTAATAAAAAATTTATATTACTATATGATTGTGTCCACGCTGTACTTGTGGTTTACTGTTTAAACAGAATTTGATGTGTGTATCAGTGTCGGAACGCTACACATAAGGTATAAGCATTCCTATGTTTAACTTTTCACACTCAAAAGTCAAAACAAGGATGGCCACACAACTTGGAATACTCGTATCATCATTCTTTTCTTTCTTATTAATATTTTTTATTACCTCTGCACCAACAGATAGGCAGATATGTTTACAGCATGTTAAATGTTGTACAAATTATTTTTCTAACAAAAAAAAACGTTATGCTGTGATAGAATTAAAAATGTTATTAAAGAATCTTCTATAATCGCATTCGCATTAAATTCAGTTTCAACATCACAATCAATACTTTATTATTGCACCAGAGAAGCAAGTAATTTTTTTGCCGCTAAATTAATTTTTTAAGCTATATGTTGCATTTAAATATAATGTAGAAGAAAACTTAGTATTGCAGGATGTGTCAAAATTTATATAACAAGATTTTGATGTCCAAAAAATAATACATTAGCAAAGAAAATATGGAGTGTGAAATTGGATTAAATTGAAACTGAAACATTTATGAGAGGTGAAACAAAAATGAAAAATAATTTCAAAATGTCATCTCTTTCATCTCCTTCTCAATTGTAGAGCAAGGCTCTTTTCAAAGTCATCTCCATTTTTGCGCATCTTTATTGTTTATTCTGTAATTTTTTTCAAATTTTCTCTTGCTCATTTGTAGTTCGAAACAGAAATTACCTTTTATTGTGGAGTATATTTAATAATGATTGGAAGCATGTTTGCTATATAAAATTTGTTAGCAATTTTTTTTGATAGTAATCACATAAAAACATGTTTGGTAAAAAAATATTACAAGATTGAGAAACAAAATTGTTGTTGTTGTTTTTATTTTTTGTTATTTCTATGTAGCATACTTTTAAATCTTGGGTCTCCTTTTAGGCTGTGAGTGAGTAATATGTTACTATAAAATATCATTTGGCCGTTTGAGCTACCTTGTGGACTTCTAATAATGTTGTAAATATTAGATGTCTATAAAATTTTTGAGATGATCTATTTATTATTTATTGTTTGATTCGTAAACAAGTCTCTAAGTTAAAATTTATTGGTGGGAATTCAAAAATCGGAGGGTGAAATAGTTTCTATATCTATGGGCAAACATTTTTCTTTTTGAGAAAATTTTAAAAAATAATTTGCAAATTTATATTTATTTACTGACATTCAATAAGTATCCTTCTAATTGGAAATTACAGTATTATGTCATTTCCTTCTCAATCTCAACGGTAGAGCTAAGCTCTTTTCAAAGTGCTATTCATTTATGGACATCTTTGGTGCTTTTTCAGTAATTTCTTTTAAATCTTCTTCCATTTATACTGCATTTATGTTTTCATTTGAAATAGAAATTATCTTTTGTTGTGGAGTGTGTCTCAATTGCAATTAGAAGTATGTTTGCTAATGTAAAATTTGTTGCAAATTTTTTGAAAATAATAATATGAAAACATGTACAGTAAATTGAGTGTTGCTAAATTTTTTTAAGTAAAAATATGAAAACATGTTTGGTAAAAAAATGTTGCAAGATTACTTATAAAAAAAAAAAAAAAATGTTTCAAGATTAATAAACAAATTTATTTTATTTATATATTTTATTTTTTCATTTTGTTAAATAGCACACTTTAACTCTAGGGTATTCTGTGAGGCTGTTTTTGGAAATCTAACTTCTCAAGAAAATGACTTTTAGTAATTTTTTATTTTTTATTTTTTTTTTGTCATATTGGAAGTGAATGAATTACTAAATTTATTCATATAGTGATGTGATGTTTACCTTTTATAATTTCAATGCATGAAGGTTAAAATATAAATGTAAAATATATATATATATATATATGAAAATGTGGAATTTTTTTTTTTTTGGAAACGGAAGGAGTATGTTATAAAATATTATTTGGCCATTTGAGATACCTTACTGACTTCTAATAATACTGTAAAGACTATATGAGCTATTTATTATTGGAAAATTTAAAAAAATTCTACTTAATTATGCATATTTTCAAATATGCTAACTTTTTAAAAATATTGGGTTTGACAGCTAATTTTACAAAAGTATACAAAAATACTATTTAAACTCTTTAATGGTCCCAAATACTCTTGTCTCTTTCAAAAAGTCCGAGGACAAGACATGGGTCAGTTTTGAGGTTCTCCAGTTTAAGTGATCATCATTCGGACAAGCTTCAAAACATGGGCCAATTTTGAAGTTCTCCAGTTTAAGTGATTATCATTCAAATAAGCTTCAAAATATGGGCCATTCAAAGTCTTCAACTCCTTTGTCACCTTCTTCCTTTTCAATAAAATCAGAGCAATCAACTTTAAACCCTTCTAACTTATTCATTCTTTCTTCTCTAACAAACCCATTTTCTCTCACTGGTTTCGTGATCAAAACCCATCTTTTATATCAGTTCCGTGTACTAATGCTTTGCTTTCCCTTTCTTTTGGGTCATCAAAACAACTAACGATTGTTTCCTTCTAATTAAGTTCAAAAGCTCTTTTTAATTTTTGTGTTTAAATTTGATATGGGTTTTTTTGAAAAAACATTAACCAAATGGAATCCAAAGGCATAAAATGGGTGATTGCTGGAATTGAGATTTTTTTTTTAGTTTTCGGGTTTTTCTATTTTAGTTGTATAGATTTTATATTAAATGCGTACAATATATATTTATATAATGAGTATTCTAGTTTAGATCAAGATATTTTGCTTAATGGGTAGTTCAGATCAAGATGTTTGCTTAATGGGTATTTTTTTTATTATTATTTTATTATTTTTTATTTCTTACGTTTTGTCTATTGGATCTTGTCACCGAAAATAATGAAAACCACAGCTGGACTTCGGAATAGACAAGGACAATATTTACTTTTGTTATTAGTTTGATAAAGTTGACAGTCAAAACTAATAAATTAAAAAAATTAGGATATCTGAAAATATGCATAATTAAGTAGGGTATTTTTAAATTTTCCCTATTATTATTTATAGTTTGATTGATGAACAAGTAAACTTTATGCCTTTTGTTTATTTTATTTTATTTTGTTTTTCAGGCTATCACTAGGCCGACAATGCAAGACCAATAGACCACGTAAGGAAGTCCATTCGGATCCATTCGGATATCCATTCTAGTTTTAAAAGGTGTAATCCTATATGAGAATGAATATAAGTTCGGCCCAAATTACCAAGGCCCAAAGAATTGATAATTCCATTAACACATCAGATTTCATGTCAGCCTTTAGATTTTAAAGCATCTCAACGGGTTTGCAAAAGTTGTTGACACATAATAATTAACCCGGAACTAGAAGCCTACGTCGGCGTGTCAGATGTTACGGCTGTTCAGTTCCACCGCACATGCTGTAAGTTTTGTGAATCTAAAGTTGCCTAATCCGCGCACAACTGGCTGTCTCTCTCAAGGCACGACACTTACCAGATCTGTAATATGAATCTACAAGATCTGTAGTACAAATCTACAATATTTTGTAAGTTTTGCTTTCATCATCAAAATTTGTTCTGTAAATTTTCTTTTTTTCCTTCTTGTCAGATACGAAACATCGGATGTTGTTCTCTAATTTCTTTAACATTTTCTTTTACAGTTTCATTTTTATTTTATTTTATTTATTATAGAGAACCAGCTTTCTTTTACTGTATAATTTTCTGAAGAGAATTATCTTTGTTTTTATTTATCGAAATTTTCTTTGTCTTTATTTATTTATTTATTTTATTATTATTATTTTTTATTTTTTAAGACTGTACTTTTGAAACCATGCCGCTGTCTTTTGTACTTTCCACCAATGAGGAAAAAGTCATCATATTCCGTCTACTAGCTAGATCTAGTAGATCTATTATTTTTTTTCCAAATATGCCCATGCAGCAAACCGGTGATCATTATTCTATTTTCTTTTTTCTAAAGGAAAACGGCTTGGACCGGGAAAAAAAATTGGACCGGGCTTATGACATTGGACCTCCGTCAATGGGCTTCGACGTCTTTTCCAAATATCAAGTTGCCCAAATACGGAGTGTGTGTGTATATATATATATGTAAACCTGTATCAAGTTGCCTAATCCTACCAAGACACAAAAAAAACATGTTATTACTGTATTTGCTTTCCAAGTTGGTTCAAACCCAATTTAACACTACTTTCCAAGTTGGTACAGACCCAATATATATCAAATTGTTCGCAATTAAATCCGTCTTCTTTATGAATGTGTTTGTTTGTTTTAAATCTCAAATCTGTTCATCTTCTCCTCCTACTATCTCTCTTGGTTCTGCAGATTTATGTCTTAAATTATCCAGAAAACTTCAAATCAATTCCCATGGAGAAAACCACCGGACACACCTCAATGTGTTGTGCTAAAAACGAAAGGTACCATCTTTTTACTTATGTATGAACTATGATTTTTTATGTGTTTATTTATTTTATTTTTATATGAAAAAATTTATTACAAAAATTCAACACTACTGTTTCTGTTATCACACTTTCTTAACTACAGTGTTATTATTTTTATTTATATATATTTTTTTCTTTACTTGGAATAGTGAGAAGGATGATGTAGGAGGGTTGTGTTTGGAGGATCTCATTAGTGGACTTCCAAATGTTATACTCATTTCAATCTTGTCACTGTTGACAATGAAAGAAGCTGGAAGAATTAGTCTCCTATCAAAGAGATGGAAGTATATGTGGACACACTATACTTGTTTGAACTTCGATGCCTCGCATATAATCAATGGAATTCTACTCGGTGAAAAGGAAGTTGAAGTAGAAAAGCCATTGTATTTGAGTTGGGTTAATCAAGTCTTGAAATCACACAACGGTCCAACTATAGATGAATTCAGAGTTCAATTTGATCTTGATGGAACTTGTAGATCTGATATTGACAACTGGGTTAACTTTGCAATGGACAAGAGAGTTAAAAGGCTTGAGTTAGACTTCACAGACAATCGCAATTATACTAGAAAGGAAGAGTATTACTACAAATATCATATCACAAATCACCTGCATTCATCATCTCTTGGGTTTACTGGCTGCAACCCCCTGACCAACCTCATACTGACACACGTGTATGTAACTAGACAAGTTCTTGAGAACTTCTTAACTTATTGTCCATTTTTGGAACAATTGTCTGTGCAAGATTCTTTAGGTCTTGTAAATCTGAAAGGTTCCTGATCTATCACTCAAATTGAAGTGCTTGGAGATAATTTACTGTTGGAATGTGGAAAGTATTGACATTTATGCAATGAATCTAATGTCATTTAAGTACTTCGGACCAAAAATAAGCCTGCCGTTTAAGACTGACCAGGCGCCTGTTGATTTGTATATCGCGGGTGACTATTGCGAACATATAATTCATAACTTTTTAGAGATTTCAAGCTATCTTTCTCAGCTAGAGAGCCTTAAGCTAGAGTTAACCTCCATGACGGAGGTTAGTAGGTTTAACTAATTCATTTTTTATCTCCTCCCCTTCATTTTTATTGTATTCTTCTTTAACATAATTATCAATCTATGCTTATTTACTTTTTCTTCTATTTACTCAGAATAGTATTCAGTTTGCTAAGTTTCCTATACTTAATAAGCTCAAGCACCTGGAGTTGAGAATTAGTGCACATGATCATGAAAGCCTTATTGTTTTTGCTCCCCTGATAGAGGCATGTCCTCTCATGTCTAAATTTGTGTTGCAGGTAACAAGTCTTACTTTACAACCTGCATTTCTGAACTGTGAGGTTTATTGCTTTCGTAATTTAATTTTCAAATGAAAATTTTGATTCATTTGGACATCAGTGTAAAAGCTTTTAATTTTCCCAAGTAATTACTTCTTTATTGCTATTACAAAATTACAATGTTACTAGTAATAAGAAAAATGCTCTTACAGAGTTTAGCTTGCTCTATATTCCTAATTGTTCAAGTATTTTCTAAATGAATATATATATCTTACAGTGTTTGGTTTGCTTGTTCATGTATTGTCTAAATGAATATATGTAATTATGTCGTTCCCGAATTAAATAAAATTTACTGCCTAAGAGTTTTACATGGTCCTTTAATATCTTACACGTTCTTCGATTGCTTTATTTTCATGATTGTTCAAGAGCTCTTCCCGGAGTGGGACCAGTTGAGGCCTCTAACTTTATTCAGTATTATTGCTCTTCGGAACAGTGTGAATTCATTTCTGACTGATAAATTTTCATTTCAATAATGATATAAAAGACTAGAAATAATATGTATGTAGTCTTGCAGAGAGAAGTAGGATTTTAGAAAATGGCATAATTTATAGAAATTGGTAGATTGGAGATGATTAAGAAGAGTAGAAATTTTGTAAATATGTATATATTTGGGTGGATAGTTTTACAAACTAAATCTTAACCACTTGTTTCCTAGCCTTCCATTAGAAAATTTCATATATCTACACACGTTTGTTTTTATTGCATCCTAGCTAGGAAGATTTCATACATACACACACGTAGAAATGTCATTTGTAACAAGCCTAATGTAGGTTTTGTATGTTTGGAAAGAATTTTCGTAGTAGAGAATTTGTATATAGGTAAATAATTGGGTGGATAGTTTTAGAAACTAAATCTTAACCTCTTGTTTTTATTGTATCCTAGCCTTCCATTAATTTCAAAAGCAAGTTTTGTATGTTTGGAAATATGTTTTTTGTATGCAAAATTTACCAAGTAGGATCTTTCTAATGATTAGTTAATTAATGTTTGATTTTTTATTTTTTTCTTATGGATCAATTAAAGGTCTTTTAAATTGCACGTCACTCAAATCTTACAATTAGTAGACCATTCCATTTAGTCTAGCAATCACGTGATTCTAACTTGGACAATGCAACTTATGACTATTCCTCCTTGTGACAGCTACTATGGTGGAAAGCCTGGCACATAAGAGAAGACCAAGAGTTTACATCTCGGCCGCATCAGAACCTTAAGGTGGTGGTGCTGTCATGCTTGAGAAGATTACTTTTGATCCTCGCAATCCACTTCAAATGGGAACTCCATGGGAGTTTGAGGAGACTGGGGAAAAAGAAGCAGCGAGAGCGTGCGCCAAAAAAATTGGAACCAAACTTCCTGTTGGAGTAGATTTTGTAATCCTTTAATCAAATGTATATTTTATAAGCTATTTGCTTATATTTCTATTTGGATTGTTGAACCTTACGAAAAGGTTTATGAGGAGAGTATTAATTGCAAGAGAAAGTGTTATTTTTTATTTTTCTTGTATGTCATGTGACCGGAGTACAGTAAAACACTCAAACTTGGAATATTCATATCATCATTGTTTTCTTTACCATATGAACGGAGTGACTGCAACACAACAACTTTGAAATGGTCCTACCTTGAAGAGCCCTTTCATATGAAGATATTTTTATTTGCATGTGAAGGTTAAACAAATTGGATAATACTTGCCTCCAAAACTCATAAGAAGGAACTTTCATCTTCAAGCGATGTGGTTCAAAAAACATGTTAACAAGAGTCCTAACTTTAGAAATGAATAAGCAAGATCAGTTGTTGAGTTAGAACTATCTTTATTTTTCTTTTCTCTCACCGTCCTCTTTCTCTAAGGCTCCGTTTGGTTAAAAAAGAAATTTTTTAGCATGCATTTGGTTAGCATGGAAATTTATTCAAGAAAAATTGTACAAAAATATTAGTTTGTTAGTTTGGATGGTATGAAAGTGAAAATAAAGTGATTATACATGCCAAAACTATCCTTATGAAGTAAAATAATGGATTATTAAATTCAAATATATAATTTTTTATATTCATTTCTATTATTTATATTTAGAATAAGGCTTCATAATATTTTCTTAAGTAAAATTAATTATTTGTTTAAGATAAACAAATTAAAAATAAAAATAAAAAATTAGAGATGAAGGGGCAATACTACTGTTTGGGAGAAAAATCAAATATTTTACCATATAAAATATACAAATGAGTGGCTTAGATTTGCAACATAGAACAAACAATTAAAAAAAATAAAAAATTCTATTTAGAAGCCGGATTTATTTTGAGCAATTTCACCCAAATTATCATTGATATTATGCTTATATAAATGTATAATAAGCGTTGGGAACTTACCTCAGAATATAAGTTGTTTTGGAGAGAACTTTACACGATTAAGTTACTGGGTAAAATAGTAACTGCAAATAAATAGGCGCTTCTTTCACGTGAAAATAAAATTTTCCTGCTTTTTTTTGTTGAAATTTTTTTAAGGGAAAATACTCAATGCGAGAAACTAAATTTTCCATTAGCTTTCTCTTTCTATTTATCCAAATTCTAATAAAAAATTTATCTTTCCTTTTTTTTCTAGTTGTTTCCACCTAACCAAACAAATCCTAACTTTTCATCTGGAGTCTCCATCAACCTTAAGAATAGGAGTGTAAATTTTTAAGCAAAAATTTCAATAATGACCACTAAATAAATGATACTTCTTTTGTTCCATAATAAGTATCATGCTTTGATAACCGAATTCAATTTTTTGTGTTTGGTGAAGTTTTTAAAATGGACTTTTAAAATACGCTAGTGGTTTAGAAGCCCATTTCAAAGGAGCCACTAAAAACTTGCTTTCTATTGACTTCGGGCAATTAATTAAATAATAATTCCTAAAAAATTTGTAGGCTTCTCAGTTCATTCTCTTCCCATCTTCGTTCTTTGTAGCTATCTTCTCTACTGGCAGAGCATATTTTGGGGTATTATCGTTGTATATATATACTCTACAGAAAGATATTTTTTTCTATAATCACTTTACTAAAATTGTAGAGTGATAAGTAGGGTCGAACTCATATTCAAGTTGAGACTTCGTATTGGAACTTATATTCAAATTGTTATTCAAAAAGGAGTAAAAATATTAAAAATATTTGTTTGTAATTTTTGAACCAATCTACTAAAATTAAAACATCTAATCTAATAGACATGAAATTAAGAAAGCATTTAAATTAAAGATAAAAACATAATTGAAGTACATGGAATGAGAAGAACGTAGAAAATAAATTCACAAGCATTGAGCTAGCTAGCTCCTCGAAGCAGCTCTACAGAGAAGAGAACCTTTCCTACTGTCGAACTCCCTGTTTTTCTTCACAAAATCGGCTATTTGTAGGCAAAGATATTCTCATAATTTTTTTTTTTTTTTTTTGTTATTATTATTTTCTCTCTCCTCCAATCATTTCTCTTTTCCATTTGCCAGATTCCTTCATTCCACATGTTGGAAACTAGTTATGAAAACTATTGTTTCAAGTGGGAATGAAACTTGTCTGCAACTAATTTATAGTTGGGCTACGGTTTGTTTGTTGTCTTCGCCTTTAGCTGAGGGTGCCAATGTATATCATGTTAGACTATAAGGTGAATATTTTAGTATAAAGGTTGCATGCAAATTATAAAATTCAAGTTATTTAACATAACCTCAGGCCATTCCATCTCTTGGGTTTACTGGCTGCAACCCCCTGACCAACTACACACGTGAATGTAATTGGACAAGTTCTCGAGAACTTCTTTAACTTATTGTCCATTTTTGGAACAATTATCTGTGCAAGATTCTTTAGGTCTCGTAAATCTAAAAGTTCCTGATCTATCACTCAAATAGAAGTGCTTGGAGATAATTTACTGCTGGAATGTGAAAAGTATTGAGATTTATGCAATGCATTGTTCGGTTGGTCAATTAAACATCAACCTCCGCAATAGCACGAATCATTGTAAAATAGGGCTATTGGTCGGGTAAGTCGAACCACTGGGACTGCGCTAGTTTAAGGCAACCTAAGCGTCTAGAATCGTTTTAGAATGATAAGGGGGAATAGGGTTTTTGCTTGGTTTGTCACTAAAGCTATGAAATTAAGATGCATAAAATAGTAGATTGTAAGGAATATAAAGAGGTGAAATGCAAGTAGAGAAGACTAGGGAGATGAATCCGTCTCCATCCCTATACACATGCTAGATTAGAACTAATTAAGGGGAAAAATAATATATAATGGTCAAGAATTACATAACAACACATGGTTGCCATGTAATTGATCAAGAAGTACATTAAGTCTCAAACAAGTATAATCTATCAAAAGGGTAAACATGCTTAGACTACCTAACTAAAGTGTAGCTTATACACATTTACTTAAATGAAAGACTATCAAGTTCTTGACAAAATGATGAAGCACATGGAGCTAGAGATTAAGCATACACCATCAAAGG